ATCTCTTCCCTCTCTTATTCCCACTCTTATATTTAACAGTGATCACTTTTCAGTTAAGTTTCAGCACTTAAGAAGAATTGTGTATTGAGTCAGTATTCAACCAAAAGTATTAAGTAGAACAAACAAAAAATACTAAGAGGGATAACATATTAAGTTGCTCATCAACAGGGTGAGGGCTGATCAAGTCACCGTTTCTCATAGTGTTCATTTCACTTTAACAGGTTTCCTTTTTGGTGCTCAGTTAGTTGTCACCGAATTTATTTTTAAAAAGAATACTTTGTCATGAGAATTTTGCTCGTTGTTCATAAAAATAGATATTCCAACTTTTCCCCCTTTGCACTAAACAAAAAAAATGAGCAAACACATTTTTAAAATATAGTGTCCTGTCTTTTGTAACTCAACTTTTTACAAGGAAATAGAGCCTCAGAATTTGGGCAAATAGCACTCAAGCCACAAGTAACAAGTCACTTTTGGTGTTAAGGTTCTGATCCACATTATAAACCCACTATTTCCAAACTTACATTGAAAAAAGTGATCATCATGCCGGTGCCATGGCTCACTAGGCTAATCCTCCACCTGCGGTGCTGGCACCCCGGGTTCTAGTCCCGGTTGGGGCGCTGGGTACTAGTCCCAGTTGCTCCTCTTCCAGTCCAGCTATCTGCTGTGGCCCTGGAAGGCAGTGGAGGATGGCCCAAGTGCTTGGGCCCTGCACCCGCTTGGGAGACCAAGAGGAAGCACCCGGTTCCTGGCTTCGGATCAGTGCAGCACCAGCCGTAGCGACCATTAGGGGAGTGAACCAATGGAAGGAAGACCTTTCTTTGTCTCTCTCACTGTCTATAACTCTCTCTCTGTCTCTCTTTCTCGCTATCTAACTCCGCCTGGCAAAAAAGAAAAAAAAAAGAAAAAAGTGATCATCACTCTCACTTCATGATATTACAGTTCCACTCTCCATGGAGATCTACATATGTTGCTGCTGATAGGCTTAGATGTCTGCTATCAGTGACCTTTGGTATTTATTTGCAAGCAGCTTAAGACAAGTAGTCTTGTGGCTTTTGCCCTTAAATTTGTCCACAAGCTCAACAAAAATAGAACTGAGTAATGGATGGGAGTACGTGTTAATAACTCAGACAGAAGTAGAAAACTTTGTTCAAGTGCTCATATTTTTCAAGTACTTCTAATTTCCATTTTTAAGTGTGTTGAGCTCTTTCATTCTTTAAGGAAGACCTTTCTCACCTATTTTGTATTCACAATCATCTTCTTGCCACTTTTGTGCCTTCCCCCTTCCCCACTCTATAATCTAATTCACAGGCATTTGATTAAAGAATTGTGACTCTTCCTTAGCAGGTACATTATTAGAAGACAGGTTATATTTTTAAAACTTATATTTGCAGAATTTATATTTTTGCCTGTTATTGGTGTGGTCCCTAGTAGGGTACTTTCTAATTCATAAAACACAAGGGAAAAGAAACATCTTTCTCAAAATGTCCTATGTGAATTAAATCTGTGTCTCAAACAACTTGAGATACAGATCCACATTAGAATAAATCATTCTATATGTGATTGCATTTCATCTGGGTTCATCATTCAGATCTCCAGGGGTGTAGTAATAGGGAAACCAGATCTGTTTCTTATCCAGCTAGGCTGGTGGCTTCATAATTAGAAGTTTCAGTGATGAGTAGAAGCTTAATAAGGATTTGTTAAGTAATGTGCTAAACAGAAACATTACTGATTTCCTTTGGGGTAACATAGATATGTTGCTGTTGTTTCAAAATATAATTGATTAAAATCTTGGTAAATAGTGATGTTATTTTAATAGCAGCAATAGGGAATGTGTTTATAGTTAGGACATCAGCCAGAAGAAAATAAACAATTAACAGTCATAAAATAAAATTTTTGCTGCCATTTTAAAGAATATATGATTTCCACTTGTCTTTTGGGAAAATGAATAAAATTAGTCTGTCACTATAATAAATAATTTTAACTGGTTTGAGTATTTTGATTATCTGGGGGTAAATAAAGTTGTCAGCTATGACAGTACTTCAAAAAGTTTGTGGGAAAATGGAATTAAAAGTGTGATTTTGCTTTGGTGTAAAAAATGAAATCTAGGCATAGTTTTTTCACAATACATGTTACACATACTGTGCAAAAAATTTTTATACTCAAACTCATACTTTTACTTCCAATTTTCCACAGACTTTTTGTAGCACTTCATACAAAGGAGAAGAGTAGAAATAGGGACTTGGATACAATTGAGAAAGATTGAAAGTCCAAAGAAAATACAAAGGGAGAGAAAAGAGACCATTGAAGATCAGAAAGTAATTTCCAAAAAGTTAAAGACAAATAAATGGTGAAATTCACAGAAGTCAAAGGTAGACCTTCATGGAGTACTATCATCATTAAGTAGTTTTGTTTTAGAGATTTCTTATGAATTAACCACATACCAGCAGCTTTTTGTGCCCTTGCCTCTGTTCTACCTGGCTTGCCAGTGCATTCATACTTTAGATTTATAATGTTCACACCAAGATATACAGTTGATTCACTGCATTTGGGTCTCAGAGTATCTTTGGAGGCCTTCCCTTTGCCTCAAAAATAAATATGAACTATTTAAAAACACTACACAAAAGAATAGAGAATTTATTCAAGTACTTTACCAAGAACAATGATTTTGCCATAGTAGTAGACCAAGATATTTCCATCAGATTCCTCAGAAAAAAACCTTGGAATTGTTTGGGCTTGGTGATGGGACTACAGATAAAATGCTATGTGAAGTCCCCAACCTCAGGTCTTCTGACTTAGAATGTACTTGCATATGTAGTACAAAAAACTGACAGTACTCCAGACAGCCTTAACTACTGTATAGCTCATCCATCCCAATGTGACTAGTCTAACACAGAGGGTCTCTAACTGCAATGGGCACAAGAATTGCCTAGGTTGTTTATTTAAAATGCAGATCCCTTTGTTCCATACCCAGAAACTCTGATTCAGTAGATAAAGTATAAGGCCCAGAAATCTGTGTTTAACAGGCACATCCCCTCCTTACCCTTGAGATTCCATAGGTAATGATACTGACCATTACAGATACCCTGGGAGTAATCTTCTCTTACCCTAATATACACAGACTGGTAGCTAACTGTAACCATTTTGAAATAGTCATTCCCCACCACTACCCACTATCCTTCACTCTGCCGGAACATTAAACTGAAAAGGTAATTACCATATCTTGGGGTATAATTCAGCAATCTTATTGAAACAGTGTTATAAATATAACTAAGAGTGACTTTGTTACCAGGGCTGTCATTCAGGTTAGTATGGGATAGATGGGCATTGAAGAATGCACTAGAAATAATACCACTCATATAATGTTTCTATGGGGAAATGAGGGATATATTCAAAACAGCAACTTGAAAAATGTTTGAATTGCATAGATAAATTAAGAATAGCTTAAACTAAAAAATGACCTTGTGCCCCAGATTAGATTACCTCTGATTTTGCCACTTCAAACTCCATGACTTTATGAAACAAAATGGTAAGTGCTAGAGAGTGCAATCCAATACTAAATATTATTTAAAATGAAGTGCTGTGTTTTGTTTTATTTGACCTATGTATTAAGATTACTTAATTCCTAGCCCCTTTTCTACAAAGAGTATGACATTACTAAAAAAATAGTTCTGACTTTTTAACTACGCTGCATCTCACTTTCTAGATACCAGTGTTAGGAGCAACGTAGCATGGCCCTTCCTGCATTCTCTGTTCCCTCTCTCAATGTTCCTCCTTAATATAACTTTGTTCCAGGCTGGCACCGCGGCTCAATAAGTTAATCCTCCGCCTGCGCCGCCAGCACCCCAGATTCTAGTCCCGGTCGGGGCACCGGATTCTGTCCCAGTTGCTCCTCTTCCAGTACAGCTCTCTGCTATGGCCCGGGAGTGCAGTGGAGGATGGCCCAAGTGCTTGGGCCCTGTACCCACATGGGAGACCAGGAGAAGCACCTGGCTCCTGGCTTTGGATCAGCGCAGTGCGCTGGCTGCAGCAGCCATTGGGGGGTGAACCAATGGAAAAAAAGGAAGACCTTTCTCTCTGTCTCTCACTGTCCACTCTGCCTATCAAAAAAAATTTTTTTTAAATATAACTTTGTTCCTTCTTAATTTAACTCAGAAATACTATAAAATATTACAGATACAACTCTCTAGGCTACTGATAAATAGTGCTGATTTGTGTATGCTGATATTTGGATTCCTCCAGATCCATAATAAAGTGAGCTAAAAATCAATATTATGCAAATTGTTCTTAGTTTCTTAGGGCAATCCAGAAACTTCTGTCTCTTCCAGTTTCTTAACTCCTGGGCACGTGGCTTATTCTCAGTTGTAAAGTCACCCTTTCATTGCATTTACTCTGTTACAGCTTTTCATTTCTCTTCAACTTTGTATTGTTCAGCATATAACCTCCTTATCAGAGTGATACTAGCTAAGCTATTCTACTATCTCACTGATTAGGACATGATAGCATATATACATTGAGGTGGTCAGATAGCCTTTTGAGCAGAAGACCAGAAAAATGTTTTCTCATACTTGATTGGATGAACCTGAGGAAAGCTCTTGTATAGGAATACATTTTAATTTTCATAAAAGACTGGTCATTTTACATGTGTATGGAGAATACTTTTAACATAAGCTTTTCTGATTAAAATTATAGATGTACATATGCAAGTTTAGAGGTGGGAAGAGATTTATCTGCACTGTATATTATTGTGTATCGTTGGACAATTCGCATTTCCAAACAACCAAGCTTAAAGCAAAAAGTATCCTATTTATGGCCAAGTAGACTTGCATGCCAACAGAAAAACATCATGGTATTAAAACCATATGCAATTCTAGCCATATTATTCTATTTTCTCTTCATGGGTATTGCATGATGGTATTTCTAATACAAATACTAATATGCTTTGGAAATAATGACACTCGCAGGTCTTTCATCATATTGTTATCACTGCTTTATCATATTAGGCTAATACACTGCGAGAGTTGGTAGAACCTCTCCATGCCAAATCGGATCCACTTCTGTTGGCACTCAACCCATTGGACTCACAGATTGATAAGCTAATGTTTAGAGAATTTAGATCGGAGAGAGTCGGCACGGCGCAGACTCAGCATCAACCTCTTGCAAGCAACTAAAATGGCCTCGTCCTTGCTGTTTATAACAGAAAACAGACTTGTAAAAAGCTTAGATCATCAAGTGTTTTGGATTGAGGGCCTCTCTAAAGGGATATTAAGAGGGGCAGGCCACTCTTAAGAAGAATTCGAGCTTTCTGCAGTGGGACTAGCGTAAGATCAAAGCCAATCAAGATGGAGCACAGTAACAGAAAACTGCCCTTTCTATGGGAGAACAGAACGGGAAAGGGTCTTGACTGGGGAAGGGCTCTGTGTGGTGACCCCTCAGTTGTGTTCTCCTGACGTCAGGAAAAGAGAGGGATCAGCTCCAATAACTAGAAAATACTGGCTGTTTAATGGACACTTCGCTGACCTCTTTAAGGCAAAGCAGAGGAATCAAATTCTGTATTAAGTGTATTTTGCATTTTTAAAGCTTGACGTGCTGTATTGTACTAAATTAAGTGTAATCTATTAAGGCAAGGTATACACAACCTGCGCTGAAACTTACTATGTTTATTCTATTATGAAGTGTATTCAGGTGCAACACAGAGACTGATTTTGGTGACACTTATGGAGAACATTCCTCCTGCCAGGCTTCACTAGATTCCTCAGCTAAAATCCTAACTTTCTCCTTATTTCTCGGCACTTGTATCCAAGTGGTGTGTTGCCTCTTAGGCAGGCATGAGCTATTCTTTTCTGTACACTATTCTGAATTTGTAGGCTATGGTTTTCCTTTTTGAAAAAGTATTTTGTCTGAATGTCTTTCGAATCAGCTTCAGATATTATTTAACACTATGTAACTCGGTCCCCTATGGCTCAATATTGCTTATTTTTCTTTTGTAGTGGTGTGAAATTTCCTTTAGTTGGATAAGATACATTGTAATGCTTTCAGTGCTAATTGATGGATATTTCATACTGTGCAATGAACAGATAATTTAACATTGTATTTTGAAATGTTTTTTTCTTCCTGTCACCATAGTGTGTGGTCTTGCATAATGTGAATACCTGTAAAAATATAAATTACTTAAAAATAAAAACATGACCAATCGGTATCAGATCTTTTTAGATAGCTAAATAATTTGCTAGATAGCTAAATATTTGCTAAGTATGCTTGATAGTAAATTTCTTTCTAAAGAGAAGTAATCTATGCTTCTTTCTCACAAATGGAATCTGTGTTGTGAATAAAATCACATTGATCTGCCTTACAATTGCCTCTGTGCTCTAACCATTTTAATGTGTTTTTTAGGTGTACATATAAAAATGATGGTTATGGTATGTAGAAATCCATCAAAAACCATTTTATTGGCATTTAATATTGATGGAACTGTGTTGGGTCGTTATGCCTGTTTAAGTCATAGTAAATTTTATGATCCGAAGAATTTTAGTTTTTTCTCATTAAGGAATATGGTGAATCTACTTTTTAAATATAATCAACTCTTATCTTTGGTTTGAACATTTCCCCTTTATGAATTCCTGCCCAAGAGCCATGTAACTTGACCTCCATATCTCTATTAGTTGAATTTTCTAATTTCTGGGGGTGAATCTGGACTTTGTCACTAATGTTTATGAGTGTCCACCGAAGAACCTTCCATTCTTTGGGTCAGTAAATCAGTGCTAAGGACAGCAAGATTTTTCCATCTGAATTGTCATAAAAACTACTTGTAATACTCTGAAAATTCAACCACTGACATATATTTGTATCATCAAGTCACATGATTTGACATAAATTACATGCCAGGAGAAAAAAGTGTAGAGTAGACTTTAGTTCTTGCTCTTTTGTCATATCTTTATGGAAGTAAGCTTTACTGTCATTAAAAAAAACAAGGACTTATATACACCAGAGTCGGCCATGCTTGATTTTGACAAAGCATATCATCATTCTTACAAAGGTGACTTTACATGTTCTTCAGAAAATACATAGCAATATTGGTGGAACCACTCAAACTGTACTTTAAAAAAAAAAGGTTTTTTCATCATTGCATTGATTTTATCAGAGAAATTATTACCTAATATTAATGTGTGGGCATTGTTATTTTGCCTAAAAGAAAGTAAATTCTTCTAATTATGAAATAAGCAGTTGAATACAGAGGGAAGATTAAAAGCCAGCTTTTAAATCATATACTTTGTTCTGATGTAATTGTCTCCTCCCCCTAGTTTTACAATGCTAGCCATGGCTGTCCAGTTGACTTATACATTAGACTGAATTAAGAGTGCTAGCATTTAATTATAAAACAATTCAAATTTCATCATTTTTAGCATAAAACCTAGAAGAATACTAAATTAGAAGTTTGTTACCTTATATATAAATAAATTTCCTTATGGTGTGTTAGTAAGTTAATATTCATAGAAAATATTCCCGTGGCCTCAATGCATATGTTAATTGCCCTTTGTGATAAGAATAGTGTTCCACATACTTGATGTCATTTGCCTGGAAGCCTTAAAACACTCTGTGGTTCTACAAGAATGAATGCATCTAAGATTTGACTGGTGACTAATTCGGCTATGTCCTGCATTCTCCCATTTGTGATTCAACCTTTTCCAACCTTCTGTGTTTATTACACGGCTGTGTTGTGGAAAGAACAACTGTTTCCACTAGGACATCACTGTCCAATTTTAAAAGAGCACAGTTCCCTTCCAAAATATGTACCAAAACACATTATCCATTATTGATTTTAATTCTTCAAGAGCCGAACTGGTATATTCATTTGTTGTTGTTTTTTTTTTTTTTTTTTTTTACTCTCTTTCAACATTGTCATCTCAGGGGCAGGGAAATGGGGAGGACACTAGAGTGAAATTTTAGGTTGCCAAGTTTTTATTCATCTCCCTTTAACATTCACCAAAGAAATATGAACGATATGATACAATTGACTGTCCTAATAGTTTTGCAGTCTCCTGATAGGGAACCCTCTTTAGAGTGCTTTGTACATAAAATACAGAAAATCCTCACTCCATTTGAATGTGCTGGGTTCACAAGGCAATGTGCCACATAGGAGAAAGGGAAATGCAAACCTGAGTGACACAAATTCCACTCATGGCAAAGTCACATTCTAGGTCTCTGAAGGACAATACACAGGGTCTTATTAGGTATAGGAAGAAAAAAAATTGGAATTTCTCCTTAGGTTTCATATTTAATCCTTTTGAATCACTTTCTGATGTTTTGGAGCATCTATGTCATATAAAGTAACACATATGTTATAACTAGGGGATGGTACACAATCCAAAAAAACTGATCTTGGAAGGAAATACATCACCCAAGGACTCTACAGTAGTTGAGAAATGTGTCTTCATCTTCTAGTAGGCAATTTGCAATAGGTTTCAACAACTTAGTAAAAAAAAAAAAAGAGAACCTACTTTTTTTCATTAGCTGATCTTTCCTGTATCACCAACTACCTAGAAATCACATGCATTCTGAAAGAATCAACTTATGATGCTCATTACCTTCCTAGATTCACAGTATTCCATAGTGGAGCACAATATGAAGGAGGCAATACAGAGGATCTCCTTTCACCCCTGCCAAGTATGACATAGCCAGAAATGACCCCTCCCTTGGCACAGAATACAAGATATTGCATCAAAAACTCAATTGTGATCTTCAAGTGTATTAGTCCATGAAATTTTGTATAGGAAAGGAAACTTTATATGTATTCTTTGGTTTGCTGAAATTGGAATAAAAAGTATGTAATCTGACACAGGACTAATTTATATGTTGTAAATATAATTTGGGGGAAGTTTATTCCTGCAAAGTCCCAGATTTCCTGAATAAATTAGATACATATTAAAATATCCTTATAGCAGTAATACACAGCCTCATTAGGAATCACAGAAGGTTCCTGAATAAGTCCTGTGATTTGGGTGTGGTCTCCCACACTTTGCCGACTTTCAGAAAACATTCATTCAAATTGCAAAAGAGCTGGTTTTCAGTCAGTGTTCCAATGGTTGAACTGGCACATCGAACAAAATGCAATCAGGAAGCAGACCTCACCAAGTGCTTGCCTCCTCTTCCAAAGCAAGCCTCTCCTCAAAGAAGAAAAACAAGGGTTGATAAAGGACAGAAGGCCGAAGAAAAATGAGAAGGAGATGAAGAAGAGGGCAAAAAGAGAAGAAAATAAAGGTGCTTTCATATTTTCAGTTGCCACAGTAGCCTCAATTGACTTAATTGGTATTCTTCTGAGAAAAATCAAGGAAACCAATTGAAAATTATAAAAGAAAATAAAGGTCTGTTTTTGTCTTAAATGTTGAGTTCTGTGTTGTTTTGACTGTTGAGCACAGTGAATCAGATTTATAATGTGACTCTGCCCCTCACTCCCTTCCTTTGAAAATAAAAGGACTCTTTGTCTAGTGTTAAAATGTTAAATAATTGGTGGCATTTTGTGGTAGCCTGGAATCTCAGTCCCTCATCCTTACTCATCCCACTACTGTGTCTTGTGCAGTGTTGCATATGTGTATGATGTGTAGTGGTTTGAGGGGGTGCGTATCTCTGATAAGAGCCACAATATCCCATTACTAGAAAATGTTTCTGTGTTCTGTCTCATTGTGATTCCTTGTTCACATGTGCTGCCCAGAGATAAATCCATACTCAATTCTTCTTACAGCTGTCAAAGCAGATTTTTTGTAGAATTATGTTACCTTTTAGTTCAAGAAGGGGGAGGGAGTTCCAGTTGATATTTTTAATAGCTGTATATATATATATATCATTTTATATTAAATCTTCACTTATCCTTCTTAAGGTACAACTACATTGAAATTTTATAAAAAATCAACCATCTGCCCCAGATTTACACAACTTTAAGAATTAGGGGAAAAAGAAAACTGGGTCAAATGCTTTTCTAAGCAAAATATATATTCCCTATAGTGTTAGGTAATATGGAGAAAGGTTTTCTTAAAATAAAAATTTACTACATAAAAATATTTCTGCCTCCCTTAAGTCCTAAAACTATAATCTGAATCCTTTTCTTCCCTTCCCTTTCTTTCTAGAACTGAAAGAGTAATAATACATTAGATTACCTGATACCTTAACTACTATAATTCACATCAGTTAGGCCTCCCATTTCGTCCCCACCCTCTACTCTATGAAATTATGTCTGGCTTTAGAAGCAGTCTTGCTGTGAGGCAAAAAGAATGCAAACTACTAAATAATTCCTTGGTATCCTTTCATGGCCTGTGATTTTATGAAATAGAATTATGCTGTGCAAATGTATCCTTGTTTTTACAAATCCATTTAGTTACTTTAAATGACTATATGATTTTGTGCTTTCCTCATTCCAAACCATTCTCAGTTAAAATTCCCTATCTTGCTTCCATCTTTCTCTCAATCAACAAAGCAGTTTCTCCTTTTTGTAGTCTTCCATCCATCCATCCTTCAAAACCCTGTAAGGTGTTGAAAACGAGAATGAACCAATAGAAAACTAATAAGCTGTTATTTAAAGGGATTTTTATATTTTTGGGTTTTAGATCTAACTTAGATATATGGTTAGAAGTTAAAATTCACCATATGAGATTTAGTGATACCTTGTGCTGTTGATAAATAATTCTAATGGAAGGACTCAGTGGTCAAACCTGCAATTATTTGCTAACCTCATAGCAGGACCAAAAATTGATTGTGGAATTTACATAAAGCTTTTAATCCTAAAGGTGATCCCTTCTGGTTAAGGTACTGTATGTTTTGAATATTTTTTGGTAGTCTTAGGTATACTCTTTTAAAAAATTTACTTTTGGAATGCTACAGTTGAGGAAATATTACATTATAAGTACCTACTATCACATATAAATTCCAAACAATTACTAAAATATGGAAGTATACAGTTCTTGCTAAAATCATGGATTCTGAAGCCAGACTGTCTAATTCCAGTTCTCACCTCACCACTTAATAAATGTGACCTTGAGCAAGGTACTTCCCTGCTATAAGATGAATATCAAGGATATCTACTAAGTATTGTTGTGAGGATCAAATAAGGTCATGAATGTTAAGAATTTACTCTCCTTCCTGGCACATAAACATAAAGGTTAAGTAGTATTACTACTATTTGGGAGTCATTTATTAAAAACTATGCCAGAAAGTCTAAAATATTCACATGTACCATGGTGGAATGAACCATATTTTCACATTTATTCTTTGAGCCAATATAGTTAGTATACCTCAAATATGAGTCCATCTATCTATTAAAAGAAATACAAGATAGACCTACTCTATAAATCCACCTACCCAAGCACCATCTTATTCCACCTTTCTTTTATCATTGTTGAGAAAGATTTGACATCCGTGTTCAGACAATTAAGCAAGATGAGAGTTTTATTTGTTTAGGTACATCTAAGATCCTTGAGACCAACCTCCAATTTTTTTCTCAAAAATACTTAATTGGAAGACTTTCTTCCATTGTCTTACAGTTGTGTAGTAGCTTATCTTAGCACATGTCAGGGTTTTTTTACCTCATTTGCATATAAACATATTCCCATAATTTGTTTTAATTACAACATTGATAATTCATTATCAGTTGCTGTATTTCTGTTGTGCTGGGCATTACTATGGCACTCACATAAAACCTAATAATCTTCTATTGCTCAATTGGAAGATTTTTATAATCAAATATATTCTGATGAATGCCATTCCATTATATTAAGTCTGCTCTATTTAAGTAAAACTTCTATGCTTATCAGTATAATGATAAGAGATAGTCATTAATGTTTTAAAATATTAAAATATGTACAGGATTGTTTTTGTGTTGTGTACCTTTTGTACTCTAATTCTTTGAACTTAATGGACTCAAGATACATATGGTGATTTTCTATTAAGACACTATTTTGCTAACCAATAAATCCTATTATTTGATCACTCTAAAACAATTAAATGCCCATAGCTAATCTTACCCAGTATAACTAACAGATGTGGATTTGTTGAGTTCTTTATACTAGTGTTTTCCAAGCCATTCATTATCCCGTTTTTCAAATAGTTTTAATTTTGTTTTTAGAGTGTCAAATAACTGTTTATCACACTGAATAATGCATTCTATCTCTCTCTCCACTCCCTCTCCCTCCCTTCCTCCTCAACCCCCTTCCCAACACTGCAGGTGAAATTAGGGAAGAAAAGTTAGGAGATTCACTGCAAGATTTATACAGGGCACTGGAGCAGGCCAGTCTGTCACCATTAGGAGAACATCGCATTTCAACCAAGATGGAATACAAGCTGTCATTTATAAAAAGATGTAATGATCCTGTAATGAATGAAAAGCTACACAGGCTGAGAATTCTCAAAAGCACTTTAAAGGTAAGATATGAAATATAAGGAGAAATTCCTTCAAAGAGATTAATTTTTGAACTCAAAGTGGATTACCAGATACTATAAGCTAAGAAATAAGAGGGTACATCAGAAAGTTCATGGAAAATTGAATTAAAAGGTAAGATTATTGTGATACAAAAAATTTTTAAATCTGTGCATAGTTGTTTTCTTTTAAAAAAAAGATTTATTTATTTATTTGAAAGAGTTATACAGAGAGAGAGAGAGAGAGAGGTTTTCCGTCCGATGGTCCACTCCCCAGATGGCTGCAATGGCCGGAGCTGCGCCAGTCTGAAGCCAGGAGCCAGGAGCTTCTTCCAGGTCTCCCACGCGGGTGCAGGGGCCCAAAGACTTGGGCCATCTTCTACTGCTTTCCCAGGCCATAGCAGAGAGCTGGATTGGAAGAGGAGCAGCTGGGACTAGAACCGGTGCCCATATGGGATGCCAGCACTGCTGGCGGCGGCTTTACCTGCTACACCACAGCGCTGGCCCCTGAACTCTTTAAAGTCGACATTGTGTCCAATTGACACTTCTCAGCTTTTTTAATGCTTTTTGGCTCACTCACGAAGATGTACCGGCTTGCCTAGCACTCTGCTTTTCCCAGATCTGAAAGTGAGGATTTTTCCATAGGGGATCCATATGGGATGCCGGCGCTTCAGGCCAGGGCATTAACCCACTGCACCACAGCGCCGGCCCCAACATAGTTGTTTTCATAATATGCATTTTCCATGAACTTTTTGAAATGAGAGGCTAGACGGAAGAAGAGGTAAACAGCAATAACTTAAAACTGAGCTATTCCCATATCATAAGTGTCTAAGTAAAGAAGAAATCATCTTAACTCTTCATTAATGTCCCAGATTACTGAGTAAATGTTATGTGACAGTTCTAAGAGAAAAATGCATAGCTGTTTTTATTCCAGTCTTTCAGTCTCCTAAGATAAATATACCATATAGTGTAATTATTAGAGTTATTAAAAGAACACAGCATGCATGCAGAATGCAACTGTGAATACTGAAATGATATAAAAGATTTCCTGAATGTTTCCTATGTGCACTGCACTGCATTTCGTGTGAAGCCACAGTGATTTGTGTTCCAGGTAGAAATCTTATAAGATGTTCTGTTTACACTGTCAAATCCCAACACACATGGTGTCTTCCTATTAGACATTTCTGTCAGTGCTTACATTAGCTCCAGCTTATTATGCCACCCCCAGATTCAGGAGAGGATGGTCAAGACAGAGGAGCAAAGAGGCAGCGAGTTGAAGGGAGCAGACAGTAGATTCCCCTCACAGTGCAGGTATGAGCTGGGTAGGGGGTGGAGGAAGCAGAGATGGGTTGAGGAGTGGGCCAGCCATACAAACCACCTGATCAAAGTCCTACACCCTTGACAAACCAAAAACAGGGGTGACTATTTAGCCTGGCATTTAAGATTCTAGTTAAGATGCTTTGTGTCCCAAATTGGAGTAGCTGGATTCAATTCCCAGCTCTGGCTGTTGAATCCAGCTTCCTGCTAATGCAGACCCTTGGAAGCAGTGATGAAGGCTGAAGTAATTGCATTCCCACCACCCACAGAGGACACCCAGATTAAATTTCTTGCTTCAAATGCTTAGTCCTGATCATTGGAGTTATTGGGGGGTGAACCAATGAATGACAGCACTCTCTTTCTCCCTCTCTCTCCTTTCCCCTCTCCCTCCTCCTTCCCTTTCCACCTCCCTCTCAAATAAAAAATCAAAAGCAGAAAAAAACGTTATTATATAGAGTATGTGACACAGTAATTTCAGGAAACAAAAGGTTAAGGGACTCCTTTAAGAAATAGTTCAGATCCATAGCATGCTACTGAGGTTTTGTAATTTTGAAATACAATTGAATATCAAAGGGATTTTTAAAAATCGCAAAACTATTTGAAAAACCCTCAAGTAGTAAGCAGCCATGTTTGCAGTCAATTTTCTGTTAGTATTTGGGCAAACATGACTGCAAATTCATGAGACAGCTTAGTGGACTTTTGGTAACAAACCAAAATTTTAGAGAAAGCGATAATATTCATAAGAATAACTGCAGTGACCAACCCTACTCCAAAGATATTCTCCTCACCTTCTCACCTTATGGAGCCCCACCCTGTTTCCCAATTCAGTTCCAAACTGCCTGGTTTGAAAGGCAGGCAGGCATTTTGAAGCAGGTCAGGTTCGGGTATCTTAAAGACCTTCTCCTCTCTCTCTACCAGCCCCTTGCCCCTGACTTTCATGCTCTGTAGATTCACCCAAAGCATTTTCTTCCAGTGACAAAGAATATGAGCTGCTGCTTGTGGTCAGTTATAATTAAGTATTCATGAATCTCCAGGTACATGATACTCTGCTTGACTCTCTAGGGCAAAGAAAGAAAATGAAAAAGTCACTGTAAAGAAATGTCCCTCACCGGTTTAAAAAAGAAAAAAATGAACTACAGAACCCTGTGCTTTTTAACATGAAAAAGTAATAGGGAATGAAATATTCCATTAGGGAAAAACAACTGTCCAAGAAACCCTGGGGTGTGAGTAGTTCCTGGAATTATAACAGGCTACTTCAAGAAGCATAGATCTGAGATCCCGCCACAGGCAGCTCTCAACATCTGCATTCTGTCTAATCATAAACCAGAGAACTTGGGCTCCTAGCTCTCTTCATTTCCCTCCCAACTCCTGATTAGCTCTTCTCACTTGCTACAGCACATTTCCTAGACTTCCCTACCCCTTCCTTAGGTCCATAAAAGACAAGACTGAGTTTCTCAGACTGTTGTAACCCCTCTCCTCCATCCCGCATTCCACCTGCGAGATTGTCTTCCACTGGCAATAGTTGTATCTCGGTGAGCTATACCAAAGTGAAGCTTAGTGTTTAGGTGAGACCCAGCCTCCAACATAGAAGGAAGAGCTCTTCTCCATTGCACACCCTTCATGCTATAGGAAAGGAGTTGTAGCATGTACATAGCAAGAACTCCATGTTTTTGGTAACAGGAGGATAGCCATGCTCACTCTATTCAAGCATGAGGACGTTATGGCACACCTGAAGACAGGACACATACGAAAGTATCTCAAGGGATAGAATGTGATAGGTTCATGGCAGCATTGCAGTTGTATAAGGCCATCATTGAGGAAGAAGATCCTTATTATGATTATTTAAGGAAGGCTTCAAGAAATGAGAGGGGCCTTAACTGGCACTTAAAGCATGAGGAAGGTTTCCACAGGCAGAGATGAAAAACAGAACAGGCCATTTTAGACTGGGCAATACCAGGCATCCCTTGTTTGTAGGGGAAACAAATGTACACCAGGATTTGATTCTAAATACCTGAGTGTGAGTATAACAAAGCCATTTGTTATGAAATTCTGATGTTTTCCTACTAGCTATTTATTTCAAACCGGAAAAGTTTATCCATATCTTAACTATTAAATCCTTGTGCTTTTCAGGCCAGAGAAGGGGAAGTAGCCATTATCGACAAAGTCCTAAACAATCCAGACTTGACATCTAAAGAATTCCAGCAATGGAAGCAGATGTACCTTGACCTTTTCTTGGATATCTGTCAAAATACCACCTCAAATGATCCATTGAATATTTCTTCTGAAGTAGATGTAATCACTTCCTCTCTAACACATACTCATTCATACATTGAAACGCATGTGTAAGTGTATTATGCCTTCAGGCCATCCAGTACCTGCGGGTACTGTGAACCAGTATATAAGGTAGTTTTTATATCTGTGTGGGACACTTGACAAGCTATACTTTAATGTTACCAAACTATATGAAACAAATCATATATGGTCATAATACCACTGTCTTTAATGAGCATTTGTATATTTTATATGCAATCAGTGCTCAGCTTATGTTTACCATGTGCAAAATCAACTGTCTTTAATGACTTACAATTAACTTTTGCAAACAACTCTGAATACAGGTGGTCTTCAAATAGTGAAACCACAAAAAGGCAGTTTTCTATCTAAGGTCATCTTTTCTCCCTTTAAGTTAATTTTATATAAACAAGACTTCAAAGTAATTCACATTTTTTCAGGTGCAGATATCCTTGTGGGTGGGAAAGAATTTAAACCTTTTTTATATTTATTAAAATGTTCTAAGAATTTTCTTAAACATTGCACAAAGTTTAATGCTGTAGTTTTATTTTTGTGAAATGTAGGTGTGCATACAAGAGTTGAGCAAAACAGAAGAGCATCGACATAAGAAAAGTTCAGGTATCTAATATTCGTCTTAATAGTCTATTAACTTGTGAAAGCTGGTTAATGGAAATACTACTCCAAATCTATGAGAACACTTAATGGTGTATCAGGGCAAAGCTTTGTAAGATGTTTTTGTAACTAAGACCAAAACTGAAGATAGAGCTGCTTTATTTTCTTGGTTTAAATCTTCCTTTATTTTTGTAGTGATGAAATGCTGATTGTGTACAGAAGAATTTGAGAATGGATTTTTTAAAAATAGACTTAACTCACCCAGAAAGGCAGCTAATAGGTATATATATATAATTTCAACCCAAACTCATATTTTTAAATGCTAATTCTTAAAAGCTAAGGTATAAAGTGAAATGAATCAACTTTCCAGGTAGTTTCCAATTCTTCCCCTAGTCCGTTAATTAAAATTATGTAATTATATTTCAGGCAGGGAATAAAATATGTTTAGTTACAGACTGATATGTGTTATATCAGTTATAGAAAACAATGTTGAAAATAGAAATGTACTTCTCTCATAAGGAGCAAGAGGGTAATAATGGTCACTCAGAGAGATGTCACATTGAATTAGATGACAGAGACAATTTAAAGGTTTTCTTCCTAGCATCATGAATTGTTCTATAGAGTGGATGAAGTCTAAGAAAAAGTCCTCTTCATATATTTCCATTTATAAGCGTCTCGTTTTTGAAAGTGATCACAGCATGAAAATGACTGTGCTGCTTTTTAGTGTCTGGCTGCATAACGTACAAGTCACAATTTGCTGTTTTTTCAGGAGGAGAAAGGGACCCTCCTTTACTATTCTATATCCTAAAATCTAATCAGCTTTATACTGTTGCCTGTACAGCTCAGTGAATGTACTTACATCTTTAAGAGTTCAGATATATGCCAGTGACTATTTTTGCTGTAGAGGAGAAAGTTAAAAACTCCACAGCGGGGATCTTTTTCTTTGCTTTTGAAACCACCATTGAATCACTGTCGTTTTGCAGACTTTGCACAACTGTACAGGAGAGTGGCCTTTCTGCAGCACATTTTCAGTAATCCTATATTTAGTCAAAAATGGATGAGAAATCACGTATTAATGTTTGTATGGAATTTTGGGTCCAGTGTAATATTTTTATCATTTAAAAAAAAACCCTATTTGTAAAAACATTTATTTACTGCATGGATACTGACACACATTAAATTTGTGGAATTTTGTATATGTAAAACAGAACAAAACAAAAATACCCTCTTGTCCTAAAATGAAGTGTGCTTGTTCCAGTTGTTTAGATTTATTGATGTTTACTAGACCAAATGTGTATGTTCACTTAAAAATATCTGTACCTGATGGGTGTGTCATGTATACAGTGGCCGGGTTTGGCCTGTAAACAGTAACAGTTGATGGGAAGACTAGCTCTGTTGCTACTAAGCAGCTTTTACTTTTGTAAAGTCAGCTCTGTTGTTTTCAATGGTAAAAATTAAACTAATGAATTTTACAAGACTCATGGCTAGCCTAGCATGAAAGAGACCTTTTGCCACTATATATCTGTACATTTTATTGCATTAGTTTCAAATCTAAGAGAGAGGCAGCACTGTAAAATGAAGTCGAATAAATTCAGCTTTTAATGAATCCTTACAAAGCACTTACTTTATTCATGCAAAGTCCTTACCATGTTTCTTTGTGATCTAATCACACAGCCACCTACTTTCCCTACCCCAAGTACAAGTTCTAACCTTGCCACCCTGTTGGTGTCACAAGCCAGAAGTAACACCCGTTCAACACATACAAGTATCTTCTCTGTGAGGCCCCGAAAAATCAAACCGGTTTCCCACTTGTCTGACATGTACTTTAAAACTTCACCTCCTTTCTCTGTGATTGTTTGGAGGAAGCGAGGATAGCCACCAAAAAATAAGTGAATTAGTATGACTTTTTACAAATACAACCTTTATGACTAAAAGATGCGGAAAAAATGACTTAAAACCAATGAGCTCTCTAAAGCCTAAACAAAAGCAAACTAGGGGTGAGGATAGGAGACCAAAAAGTTTAACCAAAAAATTAAAAAAATTATTCTGAGGTTTTATTTCTCCTTTCAGTTCCATATTGATATGGAACCAGTAGAGCAGAACTAAAACCCTGATTCTGGACTATTCAAGGGTAGTTCTCCTTACAATGATTCCATAGCATTTAACCAAAGCACTTGCCTCGCCCTTCACTTATTCAGCTAATGCCCTCTTCTAGGACTGTTTATTGCAGCTTTTAAAGCCAACAATTTTCTAGGTTTTGTATTTAACTCCTTGTACATTTTTTCAAGTTTTTTTTTTTTTTTTTTTTGGCACAGAAGTAACTACTGTTTAGTACCGAGGGAAACTCTTTAGAGGGAAAATAAGATCATTTTATCTTTTTGAAAGTCCACCTTTAGCCCAGCGTGAGACTTTTTAAAAATCACCAGCTCACTGCAGTTGAATCATGTATTCTTCTATTTGACCTATCCCGTTCCGCATTCTCAGTTCAAGGAGAACCATTCGTCTCTGGCCAAGGTCTCGTTTGCCTCCTTACCCTTGAGAAGCCACTGTGCTCCCAGAGGCCCACTCTTGGAAAAGCCCAAGTCAAGCAGAACTTTCTCCTCTGTGACCTGCAGACTGCACTAACTCATTTAGCCCAGGACTAAATCCAGCGCCTCTCTAAGCTCTCCGTCCTTCTCCACGTCCCCACCGTCAGCCAGCTGCAGCACCGCGCACTGCAGGCCACTCCAGGCCCAGGGCAGCACGCAGCCTATGTCCTCCCACCGGTCCAGGTCAAGGTCGTAGCCCACCACATTGCGGGTAGGCACCTGGCGGGATTCCCGCCACTTGAGGCCTCCCAGCAGCAGCGCTGTCTCCTCCACCACAGCCAGCCCATAACAGAACCGGTCATAGGGTAGTGGCCGCAACCGAGTCCACTGGTCAGAATCGGGGTCATAGCGTTCAATCTCCGAGAAGGGCTCAAATTGCCCCAGAAAGGCAAACACTTTGCCACGTAGTACCGCCAGGTGGTGCCCAAAGCGGGCGGTGCCCATAGGTGCCCTTTTGCTCCATGCCTTTTCCCCGGGGCCCAGGGCGTACAAGTCCCGCAGGCTGCTCGCACCTCCTTCACCTCTCCCTGCTTTGCCCCCAGAGATGTACACGACGCTGCGCTCCCCGACGGCCCCCGCATGGCCATGCAGCGCCCGCGGCAGGGCACCAGCTGGCGCCCAGCGGTCCCTGCGCAAGTCATACATCTCCACCGAGGCCAGTGCCTCACCGCCTGCGCCCAGGCCCCCGACGGCCAGGAGACTCTCACCCACAGCGCCGCACCAGAAGTAGGCCCGCGCTTCACGCATGGCGGGCACAGTGGTCCAATTGTGAGAACGCGGGTCGTATCGGTGCACTTGGGCTGTGACCATCCGCGGGCCATCGGCCAGGGGAGAGGAGGCGCTGCCTGAAGGGATCTCCCCGCCTAGGACAAATAGGAAGTTGCCCAGGGTGCATACGCTGTGCCCCAGCAGTGGTGCGGGCAGCTGCGTGAGGCTGTGCCAGCGGTGGTTGTACACGTCGAAGGCCACCACTTCCTGAGTGAATTCCCACTCCTTCTCCTCCTCCAACTCTTCCTCTCCCTCCTGCTCCTGCTCTTCTTCCTCCTCGGGCTCTGCCACGGCGCCCCGGCCCCTAGCTGCCTCCCGGGGAGCCGCAACCTCTTCCGTCATGGCCTCCCGCGTCCTGCGCCCCCCAATCAACAAGATGCGCGTCTGGGGGCTCCGGACGCTGGTCTGCTCGCCCTGCAATAGCGGCTGGCGGGAAGGCGCCGTGTGGTAATTGAGGGCTTGGATGATGAGGCCCTTGATGCGGGCGGGCAGCGTGAGGCCAGAGCCCGAGTACATGCGCCGCAACAGGTCGGCGGGCACCAGGCCGAAGCGGATACGCTCGAGCAGCGCTGTGCAGTGAGCCAAGCGCTCCGCCGCGGGCTCCTGCCGCAGCCAGGCCAGCGCCAGGCCCAGCAGCCGGGCCTCTGGCACCCGCGCCACATCGGAGGCACCCAATATGGCCCTCAGCGACGCAGGATTGAGCTCCAGCAGCCCTGCGGGACCCGCGCCCTTTGCCAGCAGCTCCCGCAGGTGGCGCACAACGCACCGCTCGGCTGCGTCCAGCGTGTGCACCAGGCCAAAGCGTGCAGCCACGTTGGCGGCAAAGCAGCAGTTTTCAGGGGCCAGCTGTCGCTCCAGGTAGCGGCCGCACAGGCCCAGGGCCTCGGTGACCTGCAGGTAGCTGGCAGCCTCCAGAGTATCCTCTACGGTGTCCATGGAGAGCGGCAGCCAGGCAGTGTAGATGAAGTCCAGCAGGCGCTGCAGGCCGGCCGCGGAAGGCACGTGCAGGTGGATCACTCGAGCCCGGGATTCCCGCGTGTGGCTCTTGAACAAGGCCCTGAAGTAGTCGCTGGAGCACGCCAGGAGCGACCTGTGCGCAGGGAACTCGCTGCCTTCGGCCTCCAGTGTCACGTCGCACAGGAAGCCCTCGGCGCGCAGGGCCTGGTACCCGGTGAGCAGCGAGCCGCCATGAGCTTTGCAGTAAGACAGGAAGTAACTCATGATGCCCCGAGCGGGAAGCGGCCGGGCCGGGACTGGGGCCAGCCAGGCTCGGCTGGAGGCATCCCCGGACACGACACCCCCACGACCCCGGCGCGACCCTCAGAGCCCCTAGCAGGGGCCCATTTTTGCCTGCTCAGCTTAAAGCCCAAGGCTTCTTCATCCAGGTCAGCAGATCGTCCCCTGCACCTCTCAGAGCAAATCTGGTATGAGAAGGGTTCCCGGAAGCCCCTAGTGGCGGAGGGCGCGGAGTTTGGAGTCTTCTGCGGGGTGCGGGGCTTGGTTTCGGCGCTTGCGGAGGCTGCCAGTGCGTTTCTCAAAGACCCCTCTCCGGCCCGATCTGGGGAACGTACACCTGCGCGACAGGGGCGGTGGTGGCCGTGCAGCATCACCTGGAAGGGCCGAGCTGCCGGTGGACTCCGGAGGTGCTGGATCTCTGACGGCCCAGACGCGTAGATGCGGCCCCGACTCGGGGCGACCCGACAGTGTGGGGCAAGGGCTCTGACCCCCCGGGGTGGACGAGGAGGACGGGTTCTGCGGGCACCCGCGAGGCCCCGAGACAACTGGCTACAGGGCGGGGGGTGGGGTGAGTTTGTTCTGCGCGGAGGATCAAATCAAAGCCTGGAGGATTAAGGAGGGGGGGCGCGGGTCAGAGCGACGGGTTAGAGGCGTGATTGGGCGCCGCACATAACATGCCGGTAGCTCACCACGACAGGAATAGCGCGCCGCCTCGGCCTCCCTGGAGCGCCCCGCCCCGCGCCAGGACTCCTGGCCGCAAACCCCGAACCAGGGCGCAGGAGCAAGCCGCCTGGGCCAGGAGCCTGCCGGTCCCCCAGGGGGTCTAGAGAACCCCGCTGAGGATTCAGGGGCAAGAGTTCACTGGCGAGGTGCGAGTCTCCCCGGACCCGGCTTGGTGGTGTGCGAGAAGGGGCGTCCGGTTGGGCCGGGAGTGTCGACCTCCTGGAGTCCCTGTGCCTGGGAAGGAAGCCCCTGGCGCAGCGTTGTGCTTTGAGAAAGTCCTCATTAGGCCGGCGGGCGCGGGGATTAAGCGGCAACTTTGCGCGCTGACACCCAGGAGGTCGCTGCGCGCTGAGGCGCTGGCGGCGAGAACCACGCCCCGGCGAATCCAGGGCTCCGCGCCCGCGGCGTTGGATAACTCGACCCTCACCTGGACTCACCCTTGCAGGATGCTGGACTTACCCTGCGTCCTCCGGAAGGCAGCTCGCCTTAGCCGAGCTGGCTTCTCTCACTTTCCACATTCGGGAATTTGCTCCCATACCCACCCGCTCCCTGACCCTAGCAAGGTTGCGCCTTCCTATTACTGGACGCTGCCGGACCCATCCCTTTACAGCAAGGACAAGAAAATGGTAGCTGACTTGGATTTGCTGCCTTTGAATGACCACTTCCTTTCATAAAATAATTTGTTCTCATTGCTCTCCTTGACTTTTCACGCTCTCTGATCTGCTACACCTCACTGCCTTGACAAGATAATGGACAGTAAGGTTGCAAAGCTCCGTAGAAGTGGAGTTTTGCAGGGCCCTTCCTTGTGAAGTTATTTTTGTAGGAAATACTCAGCAGGGAAATTACGGCTGCAAACTGCCCCAGTCCTGAGACATTAGGAAAGCACCTCTGCATCGCCCCCATCCTGCTCTCCCCTAACTAAATGATTAATGCGCGTGCAGCTGCTCTTTCTTGCCTGTGTGAGGCTTCCTATGTGTTTTACTTTCATCTACAATTGATTTTTCTATTTTCTGATGCAATCTCTCTGGTGGTCTGTTTTACTGAGCCTTTTGAGGAGGTCTCAAGTAATTTGTGTTTTTGACAGTTGGGGTTAAATTTCACAGGAGAAACAAGTCCAAGGAAGGATAAAATTCGGTCATTTCCTGCCCGGTGTGCCACTGGTACTTACAAGGTCCCCAATTAGAAGTAATTCTTCCAGTGCTTAAAAATATTAATAATAGCATTTTGCTGTCAAAGATGGCACTGCGTTAAGACTTAAATTAGCCGAATTATACAGTATAAGCAGGGGCTGGCCTTGGGCTACCTTGAGCTCCAGAGGCTAAAAATCCTCCAATTTGAATGCCTAATGTTAGAGCTGCAGATGGGTTCAGAGGAGGTGCTGTTTTTGTGGGGGATGGAGGCGTTGTTTTCTCTTAGCATTAAAATTCTTGGTTCGATGTGAAAGAGCAGCTTGGTTCACTTCGCACACATCTACATGTGGATTTAAATGGCCTTCACTCAGCCTGGCAGAGTTGTGCTGGAAGGGATTTTTGCCGTCATTAAGCTTCAACTTGTCTCTTTCCTCTGAAATCTCTTGTTTTTCTTTTTGAGCAAATGGGATAAATGAGTGCCAGAGAGAGTACGGTTTGTCTGGATGACTTGGATATTGAGTTACAGAGTCTGGATCAGAATCCAGGGCTCTGTCCCCACTATATTATGTGACCTCGGGTATGATAAAAATAAAATAGTGCAACACAGATTATTTAAACCAAGCATTCAGGGTGATAGAGGACTTTTATCATCGTATCGACTTGAAACCATTTTAGTATGTTTTTAAATAGCATATTTTTAACCTAGAAATTGGATCATATCCCATCAGATCTGTCCATCACTGTAAATTCAGGCTGAATCTAAAATACCACATTTACTTGAAAATAAAGATGCTGTGAAAGACATTAAACTTTTAACATGAGAAAATCCGGTTCCACACAACAACTACGTGTTTATTGCTGGCCTAACATACCACCTTAATATGTTTTGCCTTGGGAGATATAATGGAATATGACTGAAGATTTTTACATTAGATACATTTATCAGGCCTTGGTTAGAGAATATAACTATTGATCTATCCAAGAGAAAACATTGTCCTTTCAGTAATGTTTATGAAAATACAAGTATTTTAATTTCTGTGCAACATTAAATAAGCTAAATTAAAGTTCAGTGTGGGCTTTTGAGATGTGTGTCCTAAGTTGGTGTCTTTGTGCTGTTAAAACAAAACAGAATGAGTAATTTATAGATGATAAAAATGTACTGCTCACAGGTCTGAAGGCTGTGAGTTCTAAGATTAAGGTGCCAGCAGATTAAGTGTCCAGTGAGGACTCTCTGCTTCCTAGTCAGTACCTTCTTGCTGTGTCTTCACATGCAAGAAGGCATGTGAGGCTAACCAGCTCTCTCTTTCAAAACCTAAGGGCAGAGCCCTAATGACCTAAACACTTCCCAAAGACAACACTTCTTAATACAATCACACTGGGGATTAAGTTCCAATATATGAATTTGAGAATGCATACATACAGTCCCAGCACTTGGTACTCTAGAAGCGTGCCCCATGACCCAACCTGAACACACAGAGATGAGCAGATCTGATGGGATGTGGTCATGACATTGAAAATGACCAGCTTATGAGTTATGTTCCACCTTTAAACTATACACAACTTGAGGGCAGGGACTATTTCTTGCTCTTTGCATGTGCAATGCCTGTCATTGCCTTTGGCATAAACAATGTTGAGTTCAACACATGTAAAGGAGTAAAAGGTTATTAAAAGGAATCTGGCCAGCGCCGTGGCTCACTAGGCTAATCCTCCTCCTGCACCGCCGGCCCCGGGTTCTAGTCCCGGTCGGGGTGCCGGATTCTGTCCCGGTTGCCCCTCTTCCAGGCCAGTTCTCTGCTGTGGCCCTGGAGTGCAGTGGAGGATGGCCCAAGTACTTGGGCCCTGCACCCGCATGGGAGACCAGGAGAAGCACCTGGCTCCTGGCTTCGGATCAGCGCCGTGCACCGGCTGCAGTGCGCCAGCCACAGCGGCCATTGGAGGGTGAACCAATGGAAAAAAGGAAGACCTTTCTCTCTGTCTCTCTCTCTCTCACTGTCCACTCTGCCTGTCATAAAAAAAGAAGAAGAAGAACCTAACTGGGACAATTACTTCCTTCATTCTTGCCCTCCTTCCCTTCACACAGCTGGGGTTTAAGACTCATCCTGATGAGCTTACGTCCCTGGGAACCAAATGGGTGACCTTAGGTGACCCCCAGCTAGGGAGTCTGAGTGGACTGGACCCTTTGGGAAGGGCCTTATTACTGTCCACTGGCCAGTGGATCACTACCTCCACTAGCCAGTGCTGCCTTGAAGCCCCAGTTTTTGACCAGAGCAACCCCACATGCCTCTCAGCATCCACTCACACCCACTGCTACTCCTTCCACCCGGCCACAAAGTCTCAGGTCTCGCAGTGGCCTCCAGCTTCATGCCCCAGCAGCACCACCCCCGCTGCAGGGCTCCAGTGTGTATGGCTGCTCTGGTGCTGAAGGCCCAGCTACTTGCACCAGCGTGCCTGGTATAACCCTGTGATTTGCCCCAAACCCCGCGCCCCGCGTCAGCTCCGCAGGTGCTGTCACAGATCCCTTTCAGATATTTGCACCTCCTATGAGAAAACCTAGAACTGCAGTTCCCCAAGGACCCACCTCACTTCCCATCTCAAGGCACCAAGGCTAGTCAGTCACAACACTACATTTCCCTTAAATTGGCCCTGCCGAGCTAAATCTAAATTCTCTAGCTCTCCTCTCTAAAATAATTGTACGTGTTTTCAAAATTACAAACTTCTAAGTATTTCATTGGGTGCCTACTTTTTTTTTTTTTTTTTTGCAAATGCAATATGCTCTTTTTGGTCACAGCTTTAAGATACAATCTGCATACCATACAATTCATCAGTTTTAGGACTGCAGTTCAGTGGTCTTAGTCTGTTTACATGTTATGCAACCATCACCACAGCTTAATATAAGAATATTTTTGTCACCTCAGAAGAAACTGCATGCCCATTAGTTGTCACCTTCCTATGCCACCAACCCCTGACTCTGAGCCCTAAGAGACCACTGATCTACTTTCTAGCTCTGTAGATTGTGAACATTTCATATAAATGGAATTATGTAATAAGTGGCCTCTTGTGATTGCCTTCTTTCACTTAGCATGATGTTTTTCAGATTCATCCATTGCAATGCACTTTGTGGAAGAAAAAAACTGTGCATAAAGCCTTTTTCCAAAAGCACACAACTCTAAAATCCACCTGCTTGATATTTAGGTTACAGTGTTCTGGCAGGTTAGCTTTTTCTAATCTATCATTCACTGACTCCTTTCAGTCCAAATATACTTCCTTCCAACACATGGCTTCTGGCAACCTCTGTGAAAAGTCTATTATTAGAAGTTGACACATTAAGTTTATTGTGAAAACATGATTACAAACAATAACAGACATGCAGTAGAAAAATCCCATATTATCTTTACCTTCTTACAAGCCTGTTTCTGTGTATGTTAAATGTGTTTTATCTTTGTGACATGAAATTCAAGTAATAGGAGTGTGTGTGTGTGTGAGAGAGAGAGAGAGACAGAGAGAGAGAGAGAAAGAGAGAGAGAGATTAAGAAAAAGAATCAGGAATGACTTGAGCATTCTGGCCCATCCAATAACTTAAGAAGCAGTCTGGTAGGTGGGGAAGGACTGGGATTTGCAGTCAGACAGACTTGGGCTTCGGTTCCAGATCTGCCCCATGTGACCTTAAAGCAAGTGACTTAAATTCTGTGAGGGTCATTTTACTTTTAAAAAGGATATACTGACTCTACATTCACAGCACTATTAAAATAGGATAGTGTGCATATATATATATATATATATATATATATGCATATGGATATTTAACAGTTCCTGGCACACAGTGTTCACAAGAGATATGAATTTCTCCTTCTTCTCTTGAAACCCCATAGTAGCCGAGCCCAAACAGCCAGGAAATGTAGCAGAGAAGTGGTTCTCAGTGATCTTTGTGCAGTGTCCCCTGGAAACCAGCTAAGAACCCTTGAACTTCCTGAATCCCAGCCTTTGGGAGTGGGACTAACTGTCTGCTTCAACAAGCCCTCTCTGTGATCCTGCCACACGCTGAAGTTTGAGAGCCACTGTCATAAAGGATCTGTTAATCATTTCTGCCACATTCTGAATTCACTATTCTCAGAAAGGACTTGTTCCAGCTATAATGTCAGTGTTTTCCCAAAAAGGGAAATAACCCACTAGTTCCAAAAGGTCAGAGGTCAGAGCACCAGAGGGGAAAAATAGTAGCCTCTGTACCTCATCACATCATTTAAAAACATACTGTGGGGTTTTTGTTGCTGTTCACACAAGATGGCAGTGTTAAGAGTGTATCGCTGGGGGGCCGGCGCTGT